AGACAATAATGTCTTTAGGGCCAGAAGACCATTATTCTCTAGGCTCATTTTTTTCTTTTTTTGGTAAAGAGACAGTTCATAATATTTTCCAGTAACTGCTGCATCAAACCCAGAGTTCTGGTGGAGTTAGAGCATTTGAATTATCATACCAAATTAGGTATGTTTCTCTCTCAAAATAGAACAGTATTTTTCCCTGTTAATGCTGAATTTATGTTTGAAACACAATGCTTTTTTAGTTGAGAAGCACAGATGAGTTCATATCAATAGCAAGGCGAAACAACACATGCATGTCTACAGCAAGGTAGCGAACCATTTCTTAAAGCACCAGAGGAACGCAACACCGGTATACCTGAACTATAACCACAATTCCCATGAATCACCATTTTAATCTCTTTTGTTCCGAGACAGATATTTTTTTCTTGTCACTAGGAAGATGGGTAGGTGTTCTTTGTGCAATTATTTTGACAGTCATGTTTATTATGAGAAGTGAATGTCTGTGTGCAGCAAATCCGAGAGCAGATTCAGGACCAGCCTTGTAAACGTGCAGAAAATGGGCAGAGAATGTTTATCACAGTATTTTCCATTTTTATGAGGATGCAGTTGGTTATTATGACAAGGTGAAAGGTCTCAAAGCCTTCATTTTTAGGCCACAGGTGTTCTTTGTAGAGGTTTTTTTTAATAAAGAGTATTATTAGTCCTTTAAATTAGCTCTTATTGAAAGTTACCACATCTGCGTTATGTGGTAATGAAGCCGGGGGGAGGTCATAGCAGGGGACTTGTGCTTGAAGAAAACATCTGGACATTGCTTTGACATTCACTAGCAACTTCTTGTATTTTATTAAGACGTAAGGAAATTATACTGAAGTCAAATGCAAGATTCATTTTGTTTACTACATCATTTCAGAAAGAGGTGCAGTGACCTTAGGAAGTCCTGTACCTTTATACAGGCAATTTTTTCCTCCACTTCCCCCTGGCTGATATAAGCAGAGAGACTTCGTTTCCTGAGCACAATTACACCTATCACTTCCACTGATGGAAGTAAGGACAAGTCTACTTGCAAGGAAAGGGGGATTTAAAAGCAATCAAAATCCTCCAGTGGAAGTTGCTGAGTAACTGCATGATGGTTCTTCATCATCAAGGCTGACAACTACATATTTAGGAACTATCACGTTAAGAAACTTGGCCGCATCAGACGGCTGTTCAGCTCCATAGCGCATGCAGCCAGGAATGGTTATAGGGCAATGATTACACAGTACGCATCAGAAATCCTAAACAGAGTAGCGTACCCACGCTCACTATATTTTCTTGGTTTAAGTGCTTGCTTACAAATGCAAATGACATTTCTATTCTACTCAAGTTCTTATACCATACCCCATCGCTGCAGTGACTGAGCATCTTCCAGTACCACAGTAATCGGTCAGGTCATTTGTTCCCTCAGGCAGGGAAGCACGGATGTATCCAGGCATTGTTTTAATGCCAGTTTTCTATTCGTACAAATTGTGGGTTTAATATTAAGAAATTTTCATTGACACTTTCAGCAGAGTGTACACCCTCTGCAAATTTATTACATTTCTGGCCGGAAAGCCCAATGCAAATTCTAAAGGCCTATAAATATATTTGGTTACAGCTATATGAAATTATTACAGACAAGCTACATCCCAGCTCGTCCCTCCTCTCCAAAATCACAAGAGCTGCGAACGAAGTTCACAATACTGCATGACAGCATCTTCTAGAAAAAGAGCATTTAATGTGAATGTGACATGCAAATATTAAGACAGGACACCAGACTTCTTTTCTTTCCCCTTCCCACTGGGTGTTTTATTTTATAGCATTTGCATTAGGTAATCAACTGAAACACTTCAACAACAGAAAGCTGGCAGCATAGTAAGGAAAAATGGAGATTATTTCTCAAACAGCTGTGACAAAATGGTTTCAAGTTGGAACAGTATTGCACAAACGAATCAATTTACGGAGGGTGAGTGGGAGCGAGCATCTTCAACATGGATTGTGAGGAAAAAAGGCACTATTTAGCTGTGTGTGTGTTTAAAAAGAAAGAAGTCATGAAGCACAATCCATGTTTTTCAAAATTACATTCAGTACTGCTTTAGAAATGCTCACAAACCTGTCTCTTTTTACAGAAGCTACAGAAAGCTGCTGATGTAAATATCAGACAGTACAAGTGTATGAACATTTATAATTATGCTCCAGAAAAGTCTCCGGAAGAGGGCTCTTTCTATAAATACTGCTGCAAAGGTTACAGAGTTGCACAGGCTTACAGTAAAGGAAGCATCCACGCAACTAAGCAGCCTTCCAGTTTCCTTAAGTTTAATCTCTAGTAGTCATAAAACATGCTCTAATTTTGAAGAGCTAAATTGGCAGTGCACTTGAATCGGGCTTTTCCACTGACTGCTTAAGCAGCACGGTTCAGACAGCGTCATCCATATACCTTTTGTCATATACACGTTTAGCAACGCCAGGTAAGCTTAATGGAAATTTTAAACGGAATTGTAACAGAAAATAACTGAATTTTCCCTGATATAAAATAGAACCGCTC